TTAACTCGAATAGAACCCAGTTGGTTCAAAGCACTAGTATATTGCCTCGAAACAACCAGGATATTATTGTAAGTGTGGATTGTGTGGTGAAGGATAGTGTCAATCATTTGGATCACGTTAATGGAAAAAAACGTGAGAGCTTATTTGATCCGGATTTGGCGTTTTATTATGTTCTTGAAATTGGTAGGGAGAATAGGAACATAAAAGATTGGTTTAAGACAATACTTAAGTTTTTATTCCTTTTGAAAGTAGAACGTAGTACATTGGATCAAGTACAAAACGGCTGGATCGTCTAAAAAAACAAAAAGATGAGAAACCACAAGAATATGATTTCGAGGCGAACAGATGCGTCAGCAAGAAGAAGAGGAGAAACAGAAACGAAAAGAAAAGAAAAAGGCAAAGAAATCTAAAGAGAAAAACGCAGCTGCAGACAATGAGGGTAATGAGGGTGAAGGATTGGATCCGGAAATGGCAAAGTTGATGGGGTAAATTAGTATTATTATTATTATTATTATTTTTTGAATGTTATTGCTGAATGCGTTGCTAAATAATTATTATTATTGTTTAAAAAAAGGTTCGGAGGATTTGGAACAACAAAAGTTTGAGTGTTAAAAGGTTCCCTCCAACAGTATGTAATACCAGTGAAAATATTAATACTACATCGCGTCATTGACATATACACGACTTTATCGAGTTACTCGATCAATTTCGATTTTCTGTTTCCAAAGTCACTTTCATTAATTAGTCAGTATTCTTGAATAATAATATTTTACGGGAAAGAATAATATTTGATCATTATTTTTTGAATAATAAAATCAAATAAATGCTGAAGTGACGATCTACTAAATTACGTAATATTTAAATTGTGCTAGAAAGTTGACGTGTTAAACACGCATTTTTTACATATATCGAATTTCTATTCGTAAAACCTAGGATATTTGTTGTTACTACATTTTTCTTCCAACTAAGACTATACAAGATGGTAATTTCAAAACATTTAAGGACTTGTATAATAATAGTCTTTTTTGCTGATTTGCTGTTTTCTATTTGAAACTCAAGATTGTACGCATTCGATCTAAAGAGGGGACGAGTCGCTTTGAGGTTGATCCAAATGACGATGTTATGGCGTTAGCAGAAAAAGTGAGAATCTTTGCTTTAAGTCATGAATCTATGAATATGAACTTTATTTTTTTAAAACTAAACAAATGTCTTCCGTCAAGATTGCAATCCAACTCAAATTTGATCCGTCCACACTTAAAATATCAAAAGACCCGCAAAATGGTGTACAAGCGAAATATCTTTCTGGACAAAGCATCGCTCAGTTAGGAATAAAGTATGCATTAGAAAATATTCCTTATAATTTGTCAAGTTTTTCTTAGTCTCACGAACTCGTATCGTATCTTTTTAGTCATGGTGATCTTATATACATAACTTTTGAAGACGGAGCGAAACCAGGCACTTCAATAGTTTCCGCTGGTAAACAGCCTGCATCAACAGTAGGACCGTTTGAGCCAACAACGAATACCAGCTCATCATCAGCATTGAATGTAAAGCAAGAAGCTGTGGATGATTATCTAGAGAAACAGTCTGGCTTTATTAAGCGAGGACGTGATCCGAAATTGTACGCGTGAATTGTGTGCGTGCGCGTCGATTTTAGTAGAGGCGACGTGTATTCATTGCTGCTTTTTTATTTAATATGTAAATATTAATTTGGTTTTTCGTGTTTAGCTGTAAGCATTCTATACATGGCATGTGCGATTACTGCATGCCCTTAGAGGTAAATAGTAGATGTCTTTTTTTTTGAGTCGTTACTTGATAACATTAATTCTGTATTGACATTCAATTATTGATTTAGCCATACAATGCTAATTATTTAGCAGAAAATCTGATCAAACTTATGTTTTTTCATGAATATTTACGAAAAGTGCAAAGAGTATGTAGGGGAACCAGATTACCGTCTCAAGCAGCGTTGTTTGAATGGTCATGCTCCTTGGCCGGAAGGTATTTGTACAAACTGTCAACCGAGTGCAGTGACATTACAACAAGTAAGAGAACAATCAACATTAACTGCATTCCTCTGATTGATTCGAGAATTGATTGATTTTATGACTTTTGTAGCAATTTCGTATAGTTGATCATATTGAATTTTCGACATCGAATCTCATTAATGACTTCATTAATTTTTAGCGCTCTACTGGATATCAACGGTTTGGATATTTATATGGACGGTGTGAGCCTTACCCTGATGTTCTATTAAGCATAAAAGCAGTTGTGGAGGCGATTTATGAACCATCACAGGAAACCAAACGGATGGATTAAGTCTCAATCTCCCATGGAATGAAGAAGAGTCAGTCGACGAGGGAGCTGCTGCTTGTGGATTATTCAAAGTGAGATTTTTGAAATTACGAATAGACCAATAGAACGTTCGCTAATTCTAATTGATATTAAAAATATCACAATTCGAATAATCACGAGGTCGGAATGATATTCACTGATCTTATGGATGCAGGTCAAGGAAAAGTAATTTGCAAGCAACACATTGACTCTTATTTTCTTTCTTCCCAAGTATGCTGTTTCTCTGCCGCGATGCAAACTAAAAATCCCAATGTCACGAAATTGAGCGCCTCCGGAAAAATTCTCGAGTAAATTTGTGACATTATCGTAACGGGAAACGAGAATGGCGAGGTTGATGTGCATGCATATCAGGTTTCTAGTACTTGTGAGGCGATGGCAGCTGCTGATATCATCGAGCCGAGTGTAGAGCCTAGTGTGACGCGTGTGAAGGAAAGTACTTTGGAACGCTATGTTCCTGAAGTATCTTGCTTTTTTGTTTTCAATATAATTAACTTTCCAAATTAGATTCTGACTGCTCTAAAGTGCTGTGCTGATTTGGCTTAATTGATTATTATGGAGTAACTAAAAACACAGCTAAATGGATTATACATAATCTAGAATAGGATATTATGGTTATAACAAATACTCGTCACAGTATGTAAAAGTTGGAGAATATATCAATCCCGACTACGAAAAATTGACTTGGGCTCAAAAATTAGAATATCTACTTTATATTATCGCTTGTCTGAGAATGATTCACGAAAAGAAACTTGTGCATTGTGACTTTCACCCTGCAAATATACTAATTCTTTCATTACCGATTTTGTGCTTACCGGCCCAGCAGATATAAAAAAACTTGAGAAATTTACGGAGTACTTCCTTATAATTATATAAAATAGAACATGTAACATTATACATGTTCATCATGCACATCAAAAAGCATGATTTTCTTTTTTCTTCTTTATTCAAATAAAAATTCCTCTCCTTTCCCTTCTCCTTCCCCTCTTCTTATTTTTAAATTCTCCTCTTATCCTCTCTCTTTTTTTCTTCTTTTTTTCTTCTCTTTTTCTTTTTTGGCCAATTCTTTGACACCTGGCATCCAGCATAAATATCCGATCCATATTCTCCATCACCTGTCATCAACATTATCCAGCATTAACATCTAATCCATATTTGGCATCAATATCTGATCCACAATAGCATTGACATCCATATTTTTTAGCATTCACATAATAACACACATATAGCACATATATGATGATATATATTCTCTATCTCCAGAGAATATGTATCATCATATATGTACTGGGGAAATGTGTGTGTATATTATGTGTATGCTAATAAATATGTATTAAAAAAAATAAGAAAATAATAAAAAGCATAACTAATTACATATATTTTTAATTTTTATTTTAAAATATTAGGCATGTCAAGGAATACAGGGGAAAATGTGTTATTTGATAATGGATGAATGATGATTTTAGATTTTATTTATAAAATTTTTTTTATAAAATTAATAATAATAATCAATAATTTAAATAATTATAGCACCATAACAACATTACAGGAATACTGGAAATAATATGATAATTTTTTACTATTATTTTAAATGTTTAAATAATTCTTTTTTTAATGATTAATTATTAATTATTAAATCCAGACCAACACACCAAAATTGGAAATTCAGGCAACAAAATTTCGAAATACTGGATTGGAAAGGCTATAAAGGGTAATAAATTTTATAATTTATTTAATTTTTTAATATTTGTTATTATTTTATTTAATTTTTAATATTTTATTTTATTTTTAGATATGGTTGACTTTTCTGTTCCAACTCTTGTTATATTTCAAGCATGCTTAATAAAATCTTGCGACATTAAGAAAAATACAGGTTAAATAATTTTTTTATTGCATATTTTTTAAGATTTTTTTTAAAAAAATTAATATTTTATTTTTTTATATTTTAAACTGTTCTCTAGATTACCTTGGCCAACAACATCTCGGAATACTTGAGCAACATCTCGGAATACTGGAAATACTGGAACAATGTAAGTATTTTTTTAATTATTTGCTTTTTTTAAAATAATAAAAGAGAAAATAATTTTTTTATTTTATAGTTGCATTTCCATCCATTATCAAATAACACATTTTCCCCTGTATTTCTTGACATGCTTGGTATGTATTTTCTTTATTATAAAAAAAATACGTATTCGAATGTTACTATGCGTGTATGCATGTATGTACGTACGTATGTAGGCATTTCGGTATCGGTTGCAGCGAACCAACTAGAAATTCAATACACGGAACGGTAATGCTCAGCCATTTCTTTGTTCATCCTTTTTCATATCTATATCGATATGTACATGTACTATACTCATTAATTTGGCGTTTCTGCTTATCCTAAAAAGATCTCGAAATAGAACAGTACGTACGTATTTATTCTTCATTTCATGCATCTTGTGGGCGTACGTCGTATCATTTTTCATGCATCAATCGTTTGACAAACACATGTCAACGACGACGACTTTCACTCCACCACATATAAATCTTCGTTTTGGACATAAATCACTGCCATCATCACTATTCAACTCAATGATGGTTCATGATTGTAGTAAATGTGTTTGGTGTCGACTATGGGGTTACTGCAATGAATGTTCAGTTCACAATGCTCACGTTCATGATTGTAGTGAATGTACCATTTGTCAAGAAAATAAGTGGTGTGAAGGATGTTTTCGTTATCACAAACGAATTTATGTTGAATGGTCTAGTGGAAATAAAGATATCGACAGTCTAATAAATGAATGCGCGAAAATCAATTGTAAATTCGAATGGATCCCTTTTTAAAGATTTACCAATGTTGAATATCTTGCAAAAGGTAGTTTTGGTTCAATTTATAAAGCATCTTGGTTGGACGGTCCATGGAAACAATGGGATCATGAAGAAAATAAATTTACACGACGTGGTGAATGCGACGTTGCGTTGAAATCATTACACAATTCAAAGCAAATTACATCCGAGTTTATAAACGTGGTAAATAAACACCTTTTAATATTGCTTTTTTATTTTTCAATCTAATTAACTTTTCAAAATTAGATTCTGACTGCTCTAAAGTGCAGTAAGATTCTTAAATATTATGGAATAACTATTAACCCAGCTACAAATGAATACTCGATAGTGATAGGTACTCATGATTGTAGTAAATGCACTAATTGTCAAAAAAATAACTGTCAGCAATGTTTTGAATATTACAAACGAATTTATACTGAATGGTCCAGTGGAAACAAAGATATTGACAGTCTAATCAATGAATGCAATAATATTAATAAGGATACAGTATTTGAATGGATCCCTTTTGAAAGATTCACCAATGTTGAATATCTTGCAAAAGGTGGTTTCGGTTCAATTTATAAAGCATCCTGGTTGGATGGACCAATAGATAACCCATTCAGACGGAAGTGGGATCATGAAGAGAATAGATTTAAACGAGATGGAAAAATTGATGTTGTGTTGAAATTATTACACAATTCAAAGCAAATTACATCCGAGTTTATAAACGAGGTAAAATGTTCACTTTTTAAGTGTAAGCATGTTGCTTTTTTGTTTTTCAATCTAATCAACTTTTTTAAAATTAGATTCAGACTGCTCTACAGTGCAGTTTTAACAGTGCAATAAAATATCATGGAATAACTAAAAACCCAGTTACAAATGAATACTCGATAGTGATGGATTATGCAAAAAATGGCGATCTACGCAAATATATGAATTCCAACTACGTGACTTGGGATCAAAAATTAGAATATTTAAAAGATATCATTGAAGGGTTGAATAAAATTCATAGAGAGAAATTTGTGCATCGTGACTTTCACCCCGGAAATATATTAATAAAGTATACTCCTATCATTGCTGATTTTGGACTTACCTGCCCGGTAAATATAGAAAATTCTGATAAAGCAATTTGCGGAGTACTTCCTTATATGAGCCCAGAGGTACTGAATGGAAAACCATACACTAAAGCTGCAGATATTTATAGTTTTGGGATGATCACGTACGAGATTTCCACAGGTGAACGACCATTTGGTGAACGAAGTCATGGTATAGATCTCGTATTAGACATTTATAACGGAGTACGACCTACGATACCAAATAATGTTCCTAAATTATTCAAGTTTATTATTGAAAAATGTTGGGATCCTATTCCTGAAAACAGACAACTGTGCAGGAACTTGAGGACTTTCTCTACTCTACCGATGGATCTAATAGAAAACCGAATAATTTGCATTTTCAGTACTACGGCTCTTTAGAATCTCCTAAGACACCCGAAGAAATTAAAGAGAATCTTAAACTAGAAAAGCTGAAATTAGATGAACTTGATAAGGAGATGAAATTAAAAAAGTGCATTCCCACGAATACGAGCAAAAAACAACAAATCCACTCAAATGCAGTTTACACCAGTCGAATCTTTACCACAAAACTGATTTCAATTCCGACTGAGACAGGTACTTTTTTATTCTAAATATAAATCATATTAACATTTCATATCAATTAAAAATTGCATCGAATGTTTAGGGTTGACAAGTGTCAGTTTGTTTGTTCCAAACGAAGGTAACATTATATTTAATATTGTTTTTATTGAGTTCATTAATTCATTGCTATTTTTTCTTTTGGATTGCAAAACAGAAATTAACGAGAATGGAGATTATCGAGTTTCTTTCAAGAACAACAACTTCTTCATGATGAAACATTGGCAATATCATGCTCGTTATTAGATGAAACTGGTAACTAACTATACATTTTAAACATTTAAATAATTGAACAAACGTTCGCAACGATAACCTCACTCTATATGCAAAAAATGAATGTGTGCTTTGTGCTATTTCAATTAACTAAAACAATTATAGATATTACACATGCTTCAACTCCTCCCGCTAAATCACCGGAACCAACAAAGATGACTTCTATTTCACCTTCTCAGCCAAAAATGCCAAACCAAAGTGCAACGCCTAGTAACAATAATTATGAGGAGATAGAACTATTTCTCGAGTCTCTCAAGAATAAACCAATTGGGTGATAGACTCTTCCCAAAAGTTAAAGCCGCAGTTAAGGTAATTTCATAATAATATTTTGCGACTATCAAATTTCTGAATACAATTTCTAATTGACAATTTTAGAATCTTAGAATGAAGGTTCAAGCAAACAAGTTAACAATCATTCTTCTCGATACTAATGATCTCCGTGAATTAGTTCATTCGATGAATGATCCAGATATATTTAAAGTATAAGTTGGAGCTGCGGTGGCAAAAATTACTGCTGCCAAATAAGTGCAAACATCACCTTATAATGTCCACATATAAATCAAAATTTCAAATAAAACACAAAAGTGAACTCTGTTTAATCTTTCGAGTGTTCAGCAGTAAATGTACCAAGGATGACACGTATCACGAATAGGAATGTGTTAATATTAAATGGAAAGTAGTCCAATACTGCATCACTGAACTTGGTAATTTTGCAAGTCCAATATTGTCCAGTCCAGTAACTTCTGGTTACAAAACTGGATCTACGATGCCGGATGGTGCAAATTTATCATTGAAAAATGCTGGGATCCTATTCCCGAAAACAGAGGAATAATTACAAATTCCCCGATGAAAACTTTATTAGATAAAACTGTACTGTTAAGTATTAATTTATAATTGATCTTTTTAATTAGATGATCCCGAACAAATAGCAATTATACTTTCATTCTTCCCCAACCCGAAAACGTCGTTTGGAGTCAACAAGTACAATTCCTGATCATATGCTACAATATTATAATGAAAAATTAATTGTTACCATTATCGTTATACGTACATGTATTAACGTTCGTTAATGTACTTACCATTTGCCGATTGATGATAATAGGGGATGAATAATTATTGTTGCGGTTCAGATGGTTATTATTACATGAAGTATGCTGTCTTTTCTTAAGTAAATACGTACGTATTATTCTTCTTGAACAGGACATCGGTTCTAGGGATTTATTTAACCTTAACGGCTCGTCGAATAGTATTGTATTTGTATATCTCCGCCTATTTTTTTCTAGTCCCATTATTATGTCACAAGGGCAACCGTCCAAGAGGAAGTCGCGTCACGTTCGTTATAATAAAAAACGTAGACTCGAAAAAGAATAAACTTCGACCTTACCAGCAGAGTATAATAAGCCTGTTTTAACAAAGACGAACAATCTTTTTTTTAACCCGAACCGGGTATATATGGTTTCGAATTTTTTTTTTATAGTATTAGTGTATAAGGGTCCCTTTTGCGTTGATAGATCAACTACCCAGGTTCCTTGTCACGAGTATACTTGGTTAGGCAAAAATTTCGTTTCTACTATTGAGACGACGGGGCCTCTGACTTTGTATTTGTGTTGTAGAAATCGCATAACCACTGTATAGTGGCTCAATACTTGGGCTAGGATATATATCCGTGCATTCCATGCAGTAGCATAGGACCCAGTTTGTGACTCGAGGACTATGCACATCGAAAGAGTGAAAATGCGTTCCTCTTTGTTCGTTGGATCGTGTAACACCAAAAGGAGTTAAAATTTAGGAAGAAATATCTGAGAATTGTTAGCTGAAACATTAATTCGAGAAGCTAGGTTAGCCAATAATGAGATTTCCGATATCCCATCTAGATTTCTTAGACTAAACCCCTTTCCCCAACACAGCATTTCCCCGAAGCCATATCCCGACAACCCATATCCTCGACAACCTATTTCACCGACCACCCAATCCCCGACATGACATATATATCTCCGACATAACATTTTCCTGACAAATCTGGCTTGGGGGAGGACCTTTTATATATAACCTTAACTCTAATTCTAACCCTAACCTGTTAATTCCATGTAAAACCAGCCAGTTAATACATTATATCACAATATCTCTTGTCAGAGAAATCTCATTCGGGGAAACATCATGTCGGGTAATGAGTTCGGATAAATTAATATAGCAACACGTTAGACTAGAAATTCTGAGTTTACATTATTTAATTAACTTCGATATAAACACTTACCCGCATTTGTCAATTAAATTTAATATCATGTCTGATCTTCGTCTTCATTTTTTCGATGAAAACTCTAACGTGGGAAGCAGTCGACTCAAATAACACGCTTCCGGGTGTACGAATCAATAACATTTGAGGATGACGGCAGCTGGTTTAATTACTCTTGCTCGTTCCCCTTCCACAAGCATAAAATCATTTTTAACGGTGGATAATTCCGAATCACCAAAATCAACTTCTCCACAATATTTCCTTGATTTCGTTAATTGTCGGTCGGTCGTCTATTCAAGGTAGGATCCCAACATCGTTCCATCAATTCACAGTAACATTTCGGCATCAAGCAATCCTTTGTGTTCAGTCGCTGACCATCGCAAATAGCGAACATCAAATCCGTGTCATGGGGAATATTTGCAAAAGGCGGTTTACCAGTTACAATTTCCTACACGTCTGAAGCCTTAGTATATGTTTTCCACAAATAATTTCAGGAGCCATGTATGGAATAACACCCAAAATTTTTTTATGGTATGGACACGGAGCATCGGCTGGTTCGGATAGACCAAAATCACCGATATATGAATGATGCGTGGAGAGTTGAAGAATGTTCCCGGTGTGAAAGTCTTTGGAAATTATTCCGGAGTCGTGGATGTTGCTTAGGCCTTCTGAGATGTAATAGACGATCTTGAGACGGTGTCCATGTGAATGTTGCATAGTTGCTGCGAATAAATAAACCATATTACACATGAATCATGACCGGATTTATTCGCATTTCTTTGAGCTTTGTACTGATTAAATTATGGTATTATGTATGGTATTAATATTATTATCTTTTTCACTATATCTAAATCAAAATTAAATAATTTAACCTCATGCAAAAAATTCCCAACAAAACCATTTTCCTCATTTTTCAACACCTTCAAAGCAACCTTATACTGTTATCGTCTCAACCACTCACCACACTCTTTATCCCAACAAACAATTGGCCCATCAATCCAAACAGCCGAATACACTTTCCCGAATCCACCCTGCGCAACATATGTCACCTCACCAAATCGATCAAACGAAATCCACTTGTGACTCTTGAATTATCGCACGAATTCTGCATTACCGCTTGTCCATTTCGAAAATTGGTTCTTGAGACATTCCGCGGTGCATTTTGGCAGTAGTATGGAGCGTTAATGGCGATTTACAGCTTTAACATAAGTCAGTTGATGCGTATGATGGATACGAGTCAGAGTTGCCGGGCGAGCTGGACGAAAATGGGAGCGGGATAATGGGAGCAGGGGACAAGTATATGGGAGGTTGGAGTGTTTGGATAACTGGGATGATGATAATGATGTGGTGATGTGTTTGTTGGTGGTGGTATTTCTAAATGTAATTGAAGAGGTCTTGGTGGTAAATGGCTAGAGTTGTCTGACATTTTTTAATTCCTGATTTGTTTTATATATTCAGGATTTCGAATTTGACTTGGTTTAATTATTATGGTTAGCGATATAGAGTTTTGCCCGAACATATCAATCATAGGAAATCGAATCTTCAAACAAAATACTTACATTTGATTTTGTCCGGTAACTTGTTCGACATGTCAGTGACAACAAATTATCGGATATATCTTCATACCGATATGACAAAACCCTATGCACACGGACATATATGATGAAGCATTGTTTAATAAAAAATTTACTCCCATGGGCAATAAAAATAATTTATACGCATGTTCAAAACTAAAATGATCTCTATAACGAGAAGAATAAGTAATATGATAGTAATCAACTGTTATTGCATTTTTTTTCTCTCAACACATTCACACGCCAAGTCTAATTTACTTTTCTCACACAAAGTCAAAATACCAAAATACTCTCTCAAAAATCATTAATACTTTGCATAGAAAGAAAGGATTTAACCGATAATTGAAGCTCTCAGTATAATAAATAATCATTGGTTGGTTTTTGTCGATTGTCTCGATCTTACTTTACGTAGTTTTTACCATACTATTCTTTAACATTCTATCAGATCATCTGTGAATCATAATTATATTTCTATTGCCATAACGATAGTAACAAAACATTTAACGTTAACTTGGCAAATTCAAAACAAACAATAAATTCATTTTTTGACTCAAAATGACAATCCGAATTTAACATAATTCAAAAATTGGATTAATTTTTTTATGTAAATGATGAATGAAATACGTATAAGAAAATTTTGATTGCGCATCTTTAAATCACCTGTATTATTCCAAATTGCATAATACATATACATAATAATAAGAAATGCAAGCTAATGATAGTTAATTGCACATAACGATAACGATAATGTGTATTAGCCTACTAATTGATAATATTTAAAAATTAAAAAAATTTTGAAACCTAAGTAAAAATATAGTAATGATACTATCTACAGCGATAGGAAAATAAAACAAATGTACTACACTTATTTGTAAAAAAAAAATAGCAGTAATTGTTAGTTAAAAGAATAAAACATTTACTGTCTAAATTAAATCAACATCTAAATCTTTCAACATACTTTTTTCAATAATCTCGTTTTGCGAAAAAGCAACAGGCGCTGATATCTTCCATAAATAAATCCAAACTTCATTATCATTCGTCCCTAAATTTTCATGAGTAATGGCACAATTCAATCCCGGAAATTCCTCAATCAAATTATTCTGTATGACTGTGCCGTATCGATGTGTTATTGCCGACCCATTATACCTAAATGGCGCAATCAACGACTGAAGTGAGCTGATATTTGGGCGCACTGACAAATACTCAAATTCAAATAACGGTAAATTTATTAAAAGTTGAGATCGGAATAGTTTCTGTACTTCGTAAATTAGTTGTTTCATCATTTCCGTGAATTCTTCGAGGACCTTCGCGGCGTCGTCGAGTGTTGGTGGTTTGTGAATTTGGACGTATGTTGGAATCTGGAAGTAGTCGAGTTCGATGGAGAGTTCTTTTTTGGAAACACAATTGTGGATACAACTATTGCAATTTTTATTGTTATTGTTTTTAGTATCGGTATGGACATACATGCTGTTATCTTCCCATATTAATTGTCCTGTTCTGTAAAATTCCATTATGTAGTGAAATGCTCGTCCATTTCTATCAAAAAAGTATTCATTATTTTCTTTGTCGATAGGATGAAGAATTTGTTGATTTCTTTCCTGAAACATTGTTCCGAGTAATGTATCCGGATATGCTGTCAATGTATTTCTATATGTTTCATACTAATAGAATTTATTTATTTTTAATATGTTTCGTAGTGAATTGCTTTTAAATGCTTTATTAATAAATAATCTTGTTACCTTTATTCCACCAACATTCAAGATTACTCGTTCAAAACGCTTGTTTCTATTAGTGATTTCCATATTTTATAATTATTATAGTTTAGCCAGTCCAGTATATAGTAATAGAAATTAGAGTCCTACTAGGGGATTGATTATTGATTATCTTTATCGTTATAACTAACCAGTGACATAAAATAAAAATTTTTTACTGTAATCAAAATCAAAAAAAGAGGTTTTATTCTTAACGTTAATGTTAATATCGATATCCAAATGATGGGTTTTTATCGTCATTCTCGTTCCCTAATGTTTGTTGCACCGCATGGAAATACGAAATCATAACGATATTTCAAAATGAGGTGCATTTCAATCGTTACCGTTACCGTTACATGTACTACATGAACTACATGTACGTATATCGATACGTACGTACGTACTTGGAATTAACTTTAAAGGAACCGCATATCGATATGGAAAATCATAAGGTGTTGCAGCCTAAACGAAAAGTGCAAGATGCTTTATTTATTACGTCACTCGTTAAAATTGGATAAATACTTCGGAACGAAAAATATTTGCATGTACATGTATTAACCAAGATTTCCGTTAGAACGGATCCGGACAAAAATTTCGGCCTAACATGTCTTAAAAAGACATGTAGTATTCTTTTTGTTTTACATGTATAAAGCGTCGTCATAGTTGAAAAAACGAATTTTGATTTTTTTTTGCTTTTTTAGTGTAATTTATAGTTTTAAGTTATCAAAAAATCCTCTTTAGCAACAAACTACGTGAATTTTTTTTACTACGCTAGCTGCCCCTCCTCTTTTGTGATTATATTATACATGTACTGGAAGGATTATTAATTTAGAATAACTAGTGGAACTTCTCCCATATCAAATCACGTAATTTGTTTCACTCATCTTCTTTCGTAGATTTATAAAAGATTCTATTGATAATTTAAAAAAAATATTTTAAATAACGCCTATTTCGTGTTTTTGGTCTATTATGCTACATTTGTAAACTTTTCATGATATCATTTTAGCATACGTATTTGAAGAAACCACTCTGGAAAGAGCATAAATATTGTAACGGTAACAGTAAATACGTATTAATTTCTTATTTACAGTTTAAAGTTTAACTCTAACGCGCGTTAATACATCATAACGATAACGGATAATATCAATCATTTTAATCGACAATATGTTTCATGTTAAAAATTCTATCAACTTCTTAACTAAGAAGTAAATCCAAATTTTGACCAGTAACGGTAATATCGATATTATCAAGAAAGTCCTTTTTATAATATTACCGGTTAAATTTTGATTTACTTCTTAGTTAAGAAGTTGATAGAATTGTTAACATAAAACATATTGTCGATTTAAGAGTTCCTACTGTTGTGTCGTTTATAATAATTCGTTAGGAGGGGTTTTTCGCAACACGATTACAAGCTAGACTAAATTATTTACGAGCAAAGAGTTTCTTTGGGCGTTCTAGAGGCTTCCCGTGGTGACTTGTACGCAAATCGACGTCAAAGGTAAGGGACGTTTACAAATAATAATATACATGTGATAATAATAAAAATAAAATAATAGTTCAAAATCAATTCTAACATTATTGATACGGCCTACTCAAGAAAACAAAATCAGGACTTATTGATATGGCCTGTCCAAGAAGAATCAAAAATCAAGACAAAATGAAATCAACGGCTTATTTAGAGTGGGGGAGCATCCACTACTTGCAATTACACACAAGATTTGAAATTTGACCAAGAAAATAAAATAATAGTGTGTTCACAAGGAATATTGATATTAAAAGTAAGAACGTTGTTATTTTATTAGATCAAAGCATGTTTTTATAAAAACTTAATAGGATTGAATTACTATGCTAACATCTGTTTCTTTGGAACTTACTATCAAGTATCTATCATTTGATTTTTAATTTATTTTGCTTAAAGGATTATTGTCTACAGATAATCATTTATCCTTTAGATAATTATGCATTAAGAACATTCAATAATATCAAAGAATCAGAAGGGAGAATTATGACAAAAAAAAAAGGTATTATTTCATAATGAGATACTTCTATTTTTGTATTATAATTTGAATTAATTAGAAAACTAAAAAAGAATTTTTATTTATGAATTATCAAAAGTAGATTTACAAAATTAAAAAATTTTATTATAATTATTTAAAATAGGATCTTTATAAAGAATTATGTATGTAAATTATGAAATTAAGAAATTTAATATTATTTTGGTAATACTACAGTATTTTTCGGCAATTAGTACCCCGGGTCTCTTACATTCTAGGGGCTCAAAAATTGATTAGCACCCACCGGGTACTTTGTGAAGAGGAGGGTATATTATATGGTGATACTTAACATGGAAGTCGTAATTTGGCCCGGATTACACTAGTTTTGGCCTGAATAATGCTAATTTCAGGAATTATAAAGGGGGTACTTTACATTCTACTCAACTTGTAACCGAGATTAGTACCAGGGTACTTTATCAAGGGGATATTTTATCAAGAGGGTAACTAATTGCCAAAAAATACTGTACATTATATTAGAAAGAATTATATCATTTTTAGACAATTGATTAGGATTTTGTAAGCATCTATTTTTTTCGATTCATTATTAATATAATTAATTTATTAATTAATTTATATGATATATGAGCTATAAATATACTAATAAAGCTTATTATATATACACATTATTTCTAAATAATTTATGCCTATAAATTTAATATAAAAATACTAAATGAATCTGAGAATTTATAAAACTGACAAAATTGATACATACACATTCTTCAAAAAATAATAATGCTCAAAATTTTATGAGAAATATTTAAAATTGTTATTAAGATTGATATATAAAAAACAATATTTAAAAATAATTATTTAAATAAAATGTATAATTTATTTGAATATTGAAATTTTTATTTTTATAATGCAAGAATTCTTAAATTAATAATATATTTTATATTAAAAATTCTAACAATTTTTTAGCTAAAAAGTAAAACAAAAATTTAACAAGTAATCTTATAAAAAAAACTTGATTTTTAATTTAGAAATTAATAAATATTTTTAGTTTTGATATCAAAATAAAGATTATAACTATATTTTATATATATTTTTTCAAATTTTTTATATTTATTTAAAAAGAATTCTATTATTAAAAAGTAAATATAAAAAATTTTATAATAATGTTAACCAAATAATACTTATTTACAAAAAAAATTTTATTTTTATTAATAAATTTAGTATATGAATACTTTTTAAATAATACAGTGAGCGCTCATTACAGTAACTCTCTTTAAGATAACATCTCGTTATACTAACACAAAATCTCTTCCCCCGAACTCATTACTGTAATAAGCTTTTATAGTATTTAATTTTACGATAAAGTAACACCAAATCTCTTCCCCCGATCACGTTATTATATCGAGCGCCCATTGTATAATCAAGTTCTATAAAAGAATTTTCTTATTGTGAACTTTTAATTATAAAAAAAGTATTTATTATAACAATTTTTTTGAGTTCATAGATTTGATTTTATAAATAATGCAAAACTCTTAAATTAATAATTTATTTTAAGTTAAAATTCTTTTACTTTTTAAATAAAAGTAAATACAAAATTTAACTGACAATATTATTAAGAAATTTCTTTTTATAATATTATTAATAAAATTTTGTATTTATTTTTTATTTAAGAATTTTATAGAATTATCCAACATTATTATTATTTATTCAAATGTAATATTAATTAGTGAAAAATATTTATTATAAATAAAGTGCAATTGAAGCTTTGAAAAAAGGCATCAATTGATTAATACAAAATCTAGCTAGTCTTATAAAGTTAAAAAAATTTTAATATAAAAATATATTGTCAATTAAAAATTTTTTGTTTATATAAAATAGTTTATATTGATAATAAATATTTAAAAAGTTATAATGTAATTAAAATAAATTCAAAATTATAATAATTAGAAATATTTTTAAATTTATATAATATAATTTAATATAAAAATATAAATATATTGCTTTGTAATTAATAAAAAATATTTTATTAAATATACAATTTAGATTATGATTAATATATCTATATAATTTTTTTATTATATAAATAAAAATAAAAACTTTCATTAATCAAGAACTTTTTGTATTAAATTATAGTTATTTTTTATAAATTTTATATAATAAAAAATTAACAATTAGTAATTTGATTTTGCTAATATTTAAAATATATATTTATTAAGTATATTAATATATTTGTATTGTTTAAACTTATAAATTATATAATAAATATATTATAAATAATTAAAAAATAATACAAATAGTTAGATTTAGATATATTTATATTTTTATATTAAATTATAAATATTTATTTTTTAATAAAAATTATAAGTTATGAGTTATAATTTTAATAAAATTATAACTAAAAATAAAATTATAAATTAATATTAAATAATTAATATTAATAATAAATAAATATTCTTAAATTTATATAATATTTATAATAAATTAATATAAATATTAATATTAATATTAATATTAATAATAAATATTCAGAATTATATAATATTTATAATAAAATTTAATAAATTTTTAATAAATATTATACACATCCCTATATTATATTATTAGAAATAATAAAAAATAGTAAAATTGATATTATTAATTTATATTAAAATTTGTTATTTTATTAATAAATATTTTTTATTTTTATACTAAAATAAAGATGATAACTTATATTTTTAATATATATATTCTTCTAGAATATTCTAGAAAAATATATATTAAAAATATAGATTACCATCTTTATTTTAGTATAAAAATAAAAAATATTTATTAATAAAGAACAAATTTTAATATAAAGTAATAATATTAATTTTACTATATTTTACTATATTTTTTTAATTTTCAGTAATATAGTGTAGAAATATATATATTATTTTTATAATTATAATTATATTTATTTTTTTATATATGAAATACTGATTTTTATTAATATTTTTTCTAGTAAATATAATATAAAGTTAATATAATAATCAAAATTAAATAGATTTAGTTTAATTAGAACTTGAT